TTTGATTTCAGCTGAAAAAAAAAATCATCTTTTTATTTTGCAGTCCCTAAAATAATCTTCCTGGTGGATTTTTTGTAATTGGATGAATGGCGACCAGGATGAGGGAAGAAAACACAAGTGATATGATTGTCTGTATGTGGAGGGGAGAGTTTTGATTTATACAAGTAGAATTCTTTCTGGGCTATAACCAGGGGTGAAATGCTCCCGGTTCAGACCGGAATCGCCCGATCCGGTAGCGATGGCGGCTGGTGGTTCGGGAAGAATTTTTTTTAAAGAAAAAAAAAGTCTCTGCCGATCCAGGCAACTCAGCTGGGATCGTCAGAGCCTCTTAAAAGCATGTTTTTTCAACCTCTTGCCTAAGAGGTTGTAGAAAAATGGTTTTAAAAGTAAAAAAAAAAAGTGGCCATGCCCACCCAGTCACCACCCCAAGCCACACCCACAGAACAGTAGTAATAAATTTTAGATTTCACCTTGGCTGAACCAAGGTTTAAGAAAAATGTCCTCGTCACTCCAATCTTTGACCCATAAAGGAGAATATTTGTAGCTCAGGGTAGAAATGAGGAGTCTTTGGTGCTCTCTGAACTCGGTTGTTTTCTTGCAGGCGTTTCATGACCCAAACTGAGTAACATCAACACTACCAGCACTGATGATGTTACCTAGTCGGATCATGAAACGTCCGAAAAGCACCGAGCTCGGAGAACCCCCAAGGAGCCCTCATTTCAATTGTGCTTGCCGATGTTGAAAGTTTCAGTTATTGGTTTCAAGGACAGATTAATCCAGAACCCCGGTTCCAAATCTGGAACCACAACTGAACCATTTCTGGGCTGGAAGGACACACAAGCACACACACAGCTCCACAGCAAAACAACGTTTTAGCTTGTGATGTTTTAGCTTGCGGTGTTGTCCTGCCTTGCAAGGAAGAGGTTTTTTTTTTTAAGGTCTGGGGGCAAAAGGAGCTGTGAGCCTCGCAAAATAATAATAATATGAAAAAAATGCAGCGGAGAGTCCGGAGTTCAGGATCACAATTCGGGGGCGAAGGATCCATTTTAAAAGCTAATCCTCCTCGTAAATCATCAATCAAAACCATCAAGTGCCTTCCCCGGGGAAACAAACCGAGGTTCATAAGGACGCCCACACTGGGCAGGGCACTTTGTCAGCCTGGCCAGATCGTGGCTTGTTCGTTTAAAATTCTTATTTTTGGGCAGGGACGTCGATCTTGCAAAAGTAGCTGAGCTTGAGAAAGCGTGAACCGCCTGGAATTCTCCCCCACCCATGCAAAAAAAAAGTTTAGCCGACAAAGATTAGAACTCAGATCTTCCATTTCTGGGTCAAAGTCTTACCCCCGTGACCAAAGCCAGAAAGCTTGCCGCCGTATGCAAAGCAGAAATAAAGTAGGATTTTGAGGGGGGGGGGGGAATATATTCCCTGGTATTTCCAACTCCGTAGCAGCAAGGAAGGGGGAAAACACCAGAGTCCGTTTCAGGCCAAACAACGAACAAGCCAAAATTGGAAAACAGCCTTTTATTAAAGCAATAAAGGATATATTTTCCAGTGCAAAAAATAAAAAATAAAGCATGCTTCCTACACAAACTAGATGCCTCTGGCCGTTTCCAGCTTCCGTATCACCGGCCGGATGGAGCTCCCGTAGCCACGGATCATCCTTGCCTTGTCAGCTGAACCGATGCCAGGGGGTTGAGATACCTACCCAAAGGGGGTTTTGTGTATGTGTGTGGAGGATTTATTTTTCCTGTCTCTCGGACATCGGGTTTAAAAATGATTGGCGGTCAAAGAAATAAGGAGACCTCAGGCGTATAACAAGCGGGCCAGTGATTTTTTTTTTTATTGATAACACAGGAAAAGCTTAGGAAAACCGTGGACGCGACCCATGCAAACCGAGCGTACGGACAAACCAAACAACACGCGGAAGAGATTTTAAAAGTGGGGGTGGGAAGTGGGGAATTCAAAGGCAGCAATAGAAGGGGACGGCGGGGGGGACGAAAAGGCCTGAATTAGCATCTCTCTAGCACCCCAGGAAAGAAAAATAAAATATTTGTCAAACACACGAATCTTAAGTTTCCTGGTGTTCGGTTTACAACAAGGCAACGGACTATGTGACGGGCGTACTATAAACTTAGAAAACGTGGCGATGAAGAGTGGAAACATCGTCAGTCGTCGGCTGAAAAGCATTCAATGGCCTTGAGAGAAAACGGGGTGCTTTGTCGTCCCTCCCGTACCCCTTTAGCCTGCAGGAACTGGGTTCCCCAAAAAAATATTATTTTTTTTAAATTGGTGGACCGGTTTTTGGATTTTTTTGCGGGGGGAGTGGGTTTTCAATCGCACAGATCATGCAGAGTTAACTTCAGTTCCTTAGCCAGCAGCCGGTTTTTTTCAAGCTGGCTGGAGAGACGGTCTACGGGGGCCACGCAGAAAGGAAGAAAGGAAGAGATTAGGGGAGAAAATTTGGGGAGGGAGGGGGAAGAGAATGAGAAGAGAGAAAGAGGGGAGAAAAAAAAAAGAGAAAGAAAAGGGAAGGTTAGTAGCCCCAGAGAGAAGTGCCCCTCCCCCACTGAGGCATGCTACAATTTCAAATAAATCAGGATTCGGAGTCCTTTTCCCTCCCCACCCCCCAAGGGTGGCTGGAGAGGACCAGGAAATAAATAAATATATATATATATATTTATATATATCCCAGGCAGTTGCTATCACATCGAACTATTCTGTATCAAATTTGTACTTGCTGATAAAGAAATAAAGGGAGACTAGTATAGATCTATTTCAAGCTATTTAGCTCTCATCAGCTAGCCATACCCTTAACTCGGATACAACTGCCTAATATGCAGGCAGCCCAAGTTCGAATCCGAATTAAAGCAAGAGGCTAAAAAAGTGGGAGTTCTAGCTGGGTGACTTTGGGCCAATTAGCAGGAGACGGTGAGTTCTAGTCCCGCCTTAGGCATGAAATCCACTGGGTGACTTTGGGCCAATTAGCAGGAGACAGTGAGTTCTAGTCCTGCCTTAGACATGAAAGCCGGCTGAGTGATTATGGGCCAATCAACAGGAGATGGGGAGTTCTAGTCCCGTTTTAGCTATGGAAGCCAATTGGGTGACTTCGGGCCAATCCCTCCCTCTCACCCCAACCCACCTCAAAAGGTTGTCGTCGTGGGTTTAAAAAAAGAGGAGGTGTCTTTGGTAGGTTCGCTGCCTGGAGTTATTTGTAAAAAATTATAAGCGGGATGCAAATAAATAGAATGGAAAAGAGGGTTTAACCAGGGAAAGTTTGGGAAGAATTGATTTAATGTTTTCCTGGAAGGAGCCAGCCCTGAACTTGCGATTTTTTTCCAAAATGCCGTGGGAGGCCATACCCCCACCCCCTCTGCAATTGCATCGTTGGTCTGAATGACGTCCTATCCCGCCGAGAAGGGGCACCAAGCTTCTCCGGAACCCCTTAAATTTCACTCCCCCTTCTCCACCCCATCCGAATGGGAAAGACGAACGGCTTATCTGAAGCCAAGTCATCACTCAAGGCATGCCACGTTTGGTGGCCCAAAGTTTCCATTCCTGAACGTGGTTTTTCTAGTGTTCCCCTTTCCTCGGCTTCCCTTTAAGTGGGCCGATCCCAAAAGTCACAGCAGCCTTAGAAAATGGGACTTACGACCGGTCCTTGCACTTATGACCATCGTGCCATCCAGTCACCTGATCAAAAATTCGTGTGTTTTGATAACCGGTATGTCCAGGCAGTTCTCAACTTACAAAGTCGACGTAACTCCGAAGTTACGATGGCACTTTAAAAAAAAGCGACTTAGAGTCGTGTTTTTTCCCCCCACATTTAAAGACCGTTGCACCTTCACTGCGGTCAGGTTGGATCAAAACTCAAGACTCGCTTGGCGACCAACTCATATTTATGACAGTTGCCATATATCGCGTGATGCCCGTTTGCAACCTTTTGACAACGGGGAAGCCAAATTCACTTAATAACCGTGAAGAACTATAGAGTGATTCGTTTAACAACCGTGGCCAGAAAGGTCTTATAACAGAGCAAAATTCATTTAACAAGCGTCTGGCTTAGTTAGCAATGGAAATTTGGGGGCTCCGTTGTGGGTCGTAAGTAGAGGACTACCTGTATCGTAGAACGGGACCCCCAAAAGTGGGCCTTTTATGTTGGGGTCCCCGTCTTACAGTTGGCAGGTCCCACGCTCCCCAAAAGCTGGATGATTTGATTTTGAGATACTTCTCTAAGTATTAAAAACTCATTTTTTCAGACCAAAGTTTGCTCTTTTGAGCGTTGGCGGAGCCCCCCCCCAAACACGGTGTTTATTAGCATTACCCCAGGGGTGTGAAGGTTTCCCCTTACTGGCTTTTAATACCAATTGTAGTTTTTATTCTGGTTAGCATCCGTAGAAAATATGCAATCCACAAGCAAACCATGGCAGCAGCGAAAGGGAATTAAGACGACCGGTGGCGTCAAAACCTTTTGAAACGATTCCGCCCGTCGTCTCTTTTAAAAATTTTGGGGCGTCAAATGGAAACGTTTTTGAAATTTTGGAGAGCTTGGAGAAGTGTATGTGTGTGTCACAAAACTCAAAATGGTACAGATAGTCCTTCATTTACGACGTGAATCGAGCCCGCAGCTATGGTCGTAAGCGACTGAAGGTATTACGGGACCGGATTCAAAGTTGCGTCCAATTTTGTTTCAGTCATTAAGCAAATGCTGTGCTCGTTAAGCGAAGGCAGCCGTCGCTAAGGAAAGGTGTTTTCTCTCATGGGGGTTTGGATACCAAAACCTGGAAATAAATGCCGGAAACGGGGTCGAAAAAAAACTTCCCAACTGCAGTCATGTGACCGCAGGGTTTGCAGTGATTGTTAACGCCAACAACGGGTCGTTAAGTGGCTCTGTCGTAACTTTGGACAGTCGTAAATTGAGGAATTCCTGTAAACCCACAGCAGCTCTCCCCATCTAACCAGGAAATGGAGGTTTGAAGACACAAATGATACACAAGCCAACATTAGTGCATTTTGCTTATTTTCCAGTGACAGCGATACAACAATGTTGTGTCCCAGGCGCTACACAGCCGCAACGGTTCTGAGCCGGGCCCCAATCCGGCGTCGCTCGTCTCTTCCTGCAGCAAGCGAGTGAGCAGAGGGAAGGGGGGGGGGTCCCTGCAGAGAAGAAACAGCCCCCCCACCTCCGAGTAAAGCCACCCAAGAAAAAGTCCACTAAGGCCACAGATCACAAAGGTGCTTGTGTTTCGGAGAGGCGTGCAAGACCGGACATCCGTCCACCCCGCCGGACGGAGGACACTCGTGCAAAGGATGAGCCTTTTCACCCTCCGGAATGGGGTGCATGTGTGATTTGGAGAGCGTGGTGGTGGTGGTGGGGAAGAGGCCGGACTAGGAAGGGAGGGAGGGAGGGAGGGAGGAAGGAAGGAAGGAAGGAAGGAAGGAAGGAGGAAGGAAGGAAGGAAGGAAGGAAGATGGTTAGATAAGATAAATAGGTAGATGGGGAGGGAGGGAGGGAAGGAACGAAAAAAGGAAGACTAGTTAGATAAATAGGTGGATGGGAAGGAAGGAAGGAAGGAAGGAAGGAAGGAAGGAAGGAAGGAAGGAAGGAAGGAAGGAAGGAAGGAGGTTAGATAAGATAAATAGGTGGATGGGGAGGCAGGGAGGGAGGAAGGAAGGAAGGAAAGAAGGAAGGAAGGAAGATGGTTACATAAGATAAATAGGTAGATGGGAAGGAGGGAGGGAGGGAAGGAAGGAAAGAAGGAGGGAAGGAACAAAAAAAGGAAGGAAGGAAGGAAGGAAAGAAGGAAGGAAGGAAGAAGACTAGTTAGATAAATAGGTGGATGGGAATGAGGGAAGGAAGGAAAGAAGGAAGGAAGATGGTTACATAAGATAAATAGGTAGATGGGAAGGAGGGAGGGAGGGAAGGAAAGAAGGAGGGAAGGAACGAAAGAAGGAAGGAAGGAAGGAAGGAAGAAGACTAGTTAGATAAATAGGTGGATGGGAAGGAAGGAGGAAGACATTTAGATAAGATAAATAGATGGGCAGGAAGGGAGGGAGGGAAGGAAGGAAAAAAGGAAGGAAGGGAGGAGACTAGATAGATAAATAGGTAGATGGGAAGGGAGGGAAGGAAGGAAGGAAGATGGTTACGTAAGATAAATAGGTAGATGGGAAGGAAGGAGGGAGGGTGGGAGGGAGGGAAGGAAGGAAGGAAAAAAGGAAGGAAAGAAGGAAGGAAGACAGGGAGCCGGATGAAGGTTTTTTGTTTTAATAAAAGGCAGACTTCGAAAGCTGCAGGCCGAGCTGCTAAGTGGAGCTTTGGAATCACCAGTTTTATCTGTTTGCGAGAGAGAGAGAGAGAGAGAGAGAAGGAAGGTTTTAGCTCTTGGGGAATGGGGTGTGTGTGTTTGTGTGTGTTGGCGCAGCAAGCAAGGGACGAGGCGAGCAGGAAAAAGGACACAACCCTCGTGCTGCGACAACGGACGGGTGCAGTTAAGAGAAGCCAAGGGTCCAAGGAGGAGCCAAAATCACACCACCATGCCAACAACAACTCGGTTTTCACAAGGACGCCAAAGAGTTGTTGAGAAGGATTAGACTGGAGCGAGCATCACAACTGACCAGCACCCACAACTTCAACAAAGCAACAACACCCCACCGGGATCAAGGGGATCTCCTGAGACGACAACTCGGTAAACCAGATTAAAATTAACAGCCGATTTGCCCGAACCGGTCAGAACCAGCTAAATCCCACTTCTGGTGTTGCTGAAGGCTGGCGTGTCATCGTCCCCCCTAAAATGTTGCGTGTCGCCTTTGACATGCACGTCGTAAGATCATCGTAGAACAATATCCTAATTCGATCGGACTGGGGGGGGAGAGGGGGTCCCCAATTTGCTCGGCGCATACTCCATGGCGGCCGGTGGGCAGCATCCAAGCTTCAAACAGTGTCGGTGAGACAGCCACAGGCGTGCGGCTTTTATCGTAAGAGGTTAATATCTCCCCCAAAGCTAAGGGTCAAAGGACAGCCATGCGCCCCCAAAATAGAAGGGGTGACCCTTTCAACGGGCCCGGAAATCGTGCACGAGACAGCAAGTTAAATAGTAGAAAGTCACTCAAGGCATCCCGAGCATCGCTTAACCCCAAAACCCTGCGCCGCCCCACCTTCCCACACCCCGACACACACACACACAGCATGCCAACACAAGGCCAACACACTGCAAACGTCGATATTTACATGGAAGTCATATCATTGAGGGCATGGTCCAGTTCCTCGCTTATGGCTTTGTATTTCAATTTCTGAGAATAGAGTTCATCTAAAACAGATTGGAGGGAAGGGGTGGGGGAGATCATCAGAAGGGAGAACAGAGTGGGGAGGGGGCATCGGGAGGGACAAACCAGGTTTTTCCTCGAGAGAGAGAGAGAGAGAGAGAGAAGCTAGAAGGGTAACCCGCGATCCAAACCTTACTACGGTTTTCTAGGATTCGAGGAGAAAGAAAAAAAAAGAAGAAAGAAAGAAAGAAAGAAAGAAAGAAAGAAAGAAAGAAAGAAAGAAAGAAAGAAAGAAAGAAAGAAAGAAAGAAAGAAAGAAAGAAAGAAAGAAAGAAAGAAAGAAAGAAAAAAGGCAGGCAGGCAGGCAGGTAGGCAGGCAGGCAGAGAGAGAGAGAGAGAGAAAGAAAGAAAGAAAGAAAGAAAAAAAGAAAGAAAGAAAGAAAGAAAGAAAGAAAAAGAAAGAAAGAAAGAAAGAAAGAAAGAAAGAAAGAAAGAAAGAAAAAGAAAGAAACTATGTAGATTTCTTCAAAAGCTAAGGCTGCGGTGCAAATATTGTATAGTGCAATATTAATGCAATATCGGTTTTTCAATTCGATTGTATAGAATGAAGGATGTGTTTGTGTTTTATTTTTATAATAATAACGTATGCCAAAGATGGCATTTAATTTCATTGTACGAGGTGCAACGACAGTAAAGTAAAAGTAAAGTAAAAATAAAAAGTAAAGTAAAAGTTTTTTAAAAAATCTATTTTATCTCCATGAAAATTAAAGAGGGAATCAGGTCCCGTGTCCAGAAAGAAAATAAAAATAAGAACTTAAAACCAAGCTGTGGGTCTCGCTCAATTATTTTGTGCTGGAAAACACACAGCAGATAGAATTATTTTCCCCTTTCTTTTCAAGATTTCGCCCTGCCCCACTTCATTTGAATTTCGTAGGGGGAAAACAATGCTGCTTTGTGTGGGCCCAGAATGGCTGGAGAAAACAATTTTGAGCTCAGGGATGAGCCGTTTACAACTTTTACATCTATCCCATTGAGTTTATTACAGTCACAGACCAGAAGAAATAAAAAACACTCGGTATAAATGTACAATTAAAAATTCTTGTATAAAATAATAAATAACAACTAAAATCTACGATAAAATCCAGTCTTCTCGATTATACATGGTCGAACTATCCTAAAATTCCAATCCATAAAATGTGTGGCCCATTGTCGGTTTAATACTAAAGGGAAAGGACTTTTACACATAAAAACGTACATATCAGATCAGGAACCCATCACATTCCAGAGTCTGCAATTTGCAAAAAATATTGGGGGGGGGAGAGGCGTCGATTTGCATATTCTTCAGGAGAAAAACAATTAGCTATATAATCCCTAATGCACAGAGATGTGATTGGCACGAAATCTCAGGAGAGAAACAGAGAAATCAAATGTGTAACGAATTAAAAATATCCAGAAACTGCAGGAATCTAATCTTGGCGTCCTTTCCCAATAAATCTGGTTAAAGAAAACTACGAGAATCCTGCTTGGCTGTAAGCAGCTGGCTGAAGGTTTGAGCGTCCTCCCCCCTATCTTAACATCTGGGTCCAACCCAGAGAGCTCGCATATCCTTTCGCCTGTGGTGTCGTGCACATTGATCTGGATCAGACGTGGGAAAGCTGCTGTTATCCAGATGTTTTGATATTAACCGTTTCCGGCAGCTTCAAGGCGATAGATATTGAAAGTTGAGGCTTGAAAATATCGGGAGAATTATCCGTTCCTCAGCTTTGTTCTAAATTCTGGTGGTAAAGTATGGTTTGCATGAAGCCCCGTATCCCGAAGGTGGGGTTTTTTTTCCTTGAAGAGGTTTCGCCTCTCATCCAAGAAGCTTCTTCGGTTCTGACTGAAAGTTGGAAGATGGATAGGGATTTGGTCCTTAGCACTCTTGCTGAGAGCCATTGAAGTCACTTGGAGGTTTTTATCTGTGGTCTCCAAATGGCCTCAGCGGGAGTCCTAACGACCAGATGACTGCAAAGAAGCACAAATCCTTCCATCAGAACTGAAGGAAGCTTCTTGGATGAGAAGCGAAACCTCTTCAAGGAAAAACAAAACTCCAGTCGCCTTTGGAAAAAACACCTTGGGGAAAACCGTGACTTGGATGACTGAGAAATCTCCACAGACGTAGTCAAGAGTCGCTTCTCGGGTGAAACCTACCTTCCAAGTCATCGATGGTCTTCTCCAATTTGGCTACCGATCTCTCGGCAAACTCGGCCCGGGTCTCTGCCTGTGGAAGGCAGGAGAAATACGAATCAGACGACGTTCCTGGCTTGAATTATGGGACAGTTTCAAACCCAAGGCAGGTAGAATAACAGGACTTGGAAGGGACTTTGGAGGTCCTCAGTGTATAGCATCAACCTTGTTAACCCTCAAGACTCTTTCCCACCCGCTATGGTGTATAATTAATATATGTATGTATGTATGATGAATGTATATCGTCATCATTTTAGCCATTGTTTATCCACTGCAGGATGAAGGCCTCTTCTACACGTTTCCGACTCATATGTGTGTGTCAGAGGTGGTATTCAGCCAGTTCGCACCGGTTCACACGAACCGCTGGCGGAAATTTGGCCAAGGATGCCGAACCGGTAGTGATGGCCGGCTGGTCACACCCCTTCACCAGTCCCCCGATTGCCGATCGCTCGTCCCGCCTGCCATGTTCTTCACGCACGCGCATCCCATTGCCTTGCAAGTCCAATGGGATGCGCGTGCGCGAAGAACATGGAGGCAACGGCAGCTGCTTTTTCCGCGACCTCCGGTACTTTTCAGCGGCCAGCCGTGGCCTCTTCGCCAGCCACTTTTCAGCAGCGGCGGCTGGCCGCAGGCTACCGAAAACTCCAGCAAGCTTGCCTTCCAGACTCTGGACCAGCTGCCGCGGAAGGTAAGCAGCCCAAACAAAGTTCAGAGGAGGAAGTTCGGGGAGGAAGCGGGGCTACGGCCGGGGCTACCAAAGGAGGGGAAACGGGGGTGACTGGTGGGGGTAGATGGAAATTCCAAACATTATCCTACCTTTTCCTGTGGGCATGGCTAGGTGGGGGTCATGTGACTGGGTGGGCATGAGTGATGTCAAGTTGGCCACGCCCACTCAGTCACATGCCCCCCCACCTAGCCACGCCCACCGAACCGGTAGCGAAAATTTTTGAAACCCACCACCGATGTGTGTGCGTGTGTGTATAATTTCATTTAAAATTGACAGTAAAGGTTATCTCATCTCATTATCTATCCCGTTCCAGGCATACGGTTGTCCAATCTCTTCTTCAGAAACCTCCAGTGATGGAGCAGCCACAACTTCTAGTGGCAAGCCGTTCCACTGGTTAATGGTTCTTACAGTCAGGAAATTTCTCCTTAGTTCTAGGTTGGTTCTCACCCGGCCTCCTACACCACTCACCTCTTTGAGTTTGTCAGTCAAAATCTTGATCTCCTCTTCATATTTGTCCTCTTTTTGAGAGTACTGGAGGAGGAGAAAAAAAGACACGCTCAAGAATCCAACTGTAACTGAGTGTGCGACCCTGAGTACATCATCCCCCAAAGTCAGGTCCCTGCTCGAGGTAGAGACTCCCACCCAGCTAATTTTGGGGTTTTATCCTATGCCTTTCAGATTGAAATATGGAAATTTCAGATGCTCTCTCAGCCCCCCAATATGGGAAGCCGGATCCCCTTAATGTCGTTCCATTGGTGTGTTTCATTTAAACAACCGCACCCAAAAAAAAAAAAAATATATCGTAAAATTAGGTGCAACTTTATCCACATAAATTGGGGTCATAACTACAGGACTACCTGTAACTCCGATAAACATTGTCCTATAGTACTTCAAAAGAAAAACAAAAAAGACAGATGCTTAGGAATGCTAGTTATATAGTTTTATCTTCTGAATATTGTAAGCTGTTCAGAGTTACCCTGTGGTAAGATAGATAGATAGATAGATAGATAGATAGATAGATAGATAGATAGATGGATAGATGGATAGATGGATAGATGGATAGATGGATAGATGGATAGATGGATAGATGGATAGATGGATAGATGGATAGATGGATAGATGGATAGATGGATAGACGGATAGACAGATAGATAGGATAAATGAGAATAGATAGATGGATGGATAGATATGAGAATAGATGGATGGATGGATGAGTGGATGGATAGATGGATGATAGATAGATAGATAGACGATAGATGGATAGATATGAGAGTAAATGGATGGATGGATAGATGAGTGGATGGATAGATGGATGGTAGATAGATATATAGATAGATAATGGATGGATGGGTTGGTGGGTGGATGGATGGAGGAAAGAACAGAGATAGATATATAATAGATAGTAATGATAGGATAGATAGATAGATGATAGATGGATAGATATGAGAGTAGATGGATGGATGGATGGATGGATGGATGGATGGATAGATGAGTGGATGGATATATGGATGGTAGATAGATATATAGATGGATGGATGGATGGAGGAAAGAACAGAGATAGATATATAATAGATAGGAATGATAGGATAGATAGATAGATGGATAGATAGATAGATGGATAGATGGATAGATATAAGAGTAGATGGATGGATGGATAGATGAGTGGATGGATAGATGGATGGTAGATAGATATATAGATAGATAATAGATGGATGGATGGGTTGGTGGGTGGATGGATGGATGGATGCAGGAAAGAACAGACATAGATATATAATAGATAGGAATGATAGAATAGATAGATATAGATAGATGAATAGATAGATAGATGAAAGGAGAGAGAGAGAGAGAGAGAGAGAGAGAGAGAAAATAAAATAAAATATAAAATAGCTATGTAGAGTTAGAATGATGACAGCCAAAATATAGATTACACAATTAACCAACTGACCTCACGGTTATTTTCTCAGCAGACCCAAGAAACCCATCCCCCCCTGCCCCCCCCAAAAGGCCGCAGAGGGATTTTGTGATTCCATTTCTAATCATCACCATCATCGATTTTCATATCTCAGCAGGAGGGGGAAAGGACCGCCCTACCTTCTCTGCCTGAGCCTCAAGCGATTTGAGATTGTTGGTAACGTTCTTCAGCTCGTCTTCCAATTCTGAACATTTACTGCGCGTGTCGGGGAAGGCGGAAAAAGAAAGAAAGGATGGGGGGAAGGGGAGGGGAGAAAAAAAGAAAGAAAGAAAAGGACAGGGTGGGAAGGATGGCGAGAGGAGACAGAAAGAAAGAGAAGTGAATCTTTTGAGTTGGGAAGGAGGGTCGGGTGTGATGTGAGGACAATCAACCCATAGAACAGAAGTTGTCAGAAATGGTGTAGGATCTCCTGCTTGATGGGGTTAGACTAGATGACCCCAAAGGGCCCTTCCGACTCTGTTAAATGTGAAAACCTAGTGCTATTATTATTATCTTTATTTATTAAATAGTAATTTTTCAACTGAGTGTCTATTCGAAGGGTACAGGTTTTCGTTCCCCGGGGAATATTCTAATAATCTCTTATCATATTGCCATATAATATCCTATATTATGCAAGCCTCTTCCCTCGCGAAACTCCAAATAAAACGAGTTTGCTTGGAGCGCTGTTCGCTTTAAACCAACCGCGACCTTCGTTTCACGACTGCTGGGAAAAAGCCACACCGGAGTCTGGATTTACAGCCCTTAATTCTGGCCTTAATTACTGTCGTAAATCGAGAACTATTTGTAAAATCCTATTGTGGGGAAGAGACATCTGATTCCCACTCCCTTCTCCCTGGTCCTTCCCTTCTTTTGCGGTTCTTTTAAGGCTAAAATTAGGACTTCCTGCTTGGAGCTGCAAAATAAAATAAAATAAAATAAAAATTGCTATCGCTTTCCAGCAGCTTCTGCAGATGCCAGGATGCCAGCTTTAGGATAGCCAAAGGCCCAAATGGTAGCTAAAGATAAATGTGTATACATCCGAATTAGACTGTGTTGTTTCTCTGTGTCGTATAATATCTGTGGGTAGATACATAATTCTGTATTTATTTATCTTGCCGTGTCCATGTGGTGTAAAATCGGAGGTGGTGACCCCTTTAAGAGCTGTAGGCAACGAAATTTCATTTTTAATCTGTGCCATTGTGCATTTAGTACCGTATTTCCCCCCGAAAATAAGATCTAACCAGAAAATAAGCCCTAATGCGTCTTTTGGAGCAAAAATTAATATAAGACTCGGTCTTATTTTCAGGGAAACATGGTAATTCAATTCAATTCAATTCAATTCAATTCAATTCAATTCTATTCTATTCTATTCTATTCTATTCTATTCTATTCCATTCTATTCTATTATTCTATTCTATTCTACTCTACTCTACTCTACTCTATTTTCTTTTTTCTCTATTCTCTATTTTCTCTATTCTACTCTACTTTCTCTTCTCTTCTCCTCTCCTCTCATTCTATTCTACTCTATTCTCTATTTCTATTCTCCTATTCTACTCTACTCTACTCTACTCTAATTCTATTCTATTCTATTCTCTATATTCTCTATTTATTCTCTATTTTCTCTATTCTACTCTCCTCCCCTCCTCTCCCTCTCATTCTATTCTACTCTATTCTCTATTCTACTCTATTCTACTTCTATTCTATTCTCTAAATTCTCTATTCTCTCGTCTCTATTCTACTCTACTCTCTTCTCTCCTCTCCTCTTCTGTTTCTATTCTACTCTATTCTCTATTCTTCTATTCTATTCTATTCTATTCTACTCTCTATTTTCTATTCTATTCTACTCTACTCTACTCTACTTCTCTTCTCTCTGCTCTCTTCTCCTATTCTATTCTATTTTATTCTATTCTATTCTACTGTACTGTACTGTACTGTACTCTAATTCTATTCTATTCTACTCTATTCTCTATTCTCCTCTCCTCTCCCCTTCCTTTCTCTTCCCTCTATCCCCTATCCTATCCTATATGGGGGCACCGGCACCAGAAGGCCCAGGCGCACAGCTTACAAGCTGCGAGGATGGCCGCCAAAGTGCCCGTTCGTGCCAGAATCTGGTGAGAGCTTGCCTGGCTAAAACCAGCAGCCACAGCGGCTGTCTGTTTGAAAGAAAGCAAAAATGTTTTTGTTTTTTTTTCAAAAAATAAAAAAAGGAAGGAAGGGGGGAAAAAGCGGCTCAGAGAAGGCAAGGCCAGGGAAAGCAGAGCCCGTCAAGCATCGAAGGCAGCAAGGAGAAGGAGAAAAGGAGGGACGTGCACGGGAGGAGCAGAGGGAGAAAAATGAGAATTTAGGAGCCTCGGCGCGCAAGGGAGGCGAGCCAGCGAGAGAGAGAGAGAGGGAGAGAGAGAATTAGTACCTTTTCTTCAGCCTGAGAAAGGAATTTCAAGTTTTGGTCCATCAGACGGTTCTGCTCATTCGTTTCTCGTAAACGGCTGGTTTAGGGACGGCCACGGGTTCGAGGGGGGAAGGAGGGGCCGGAAAGGAGCAGCGGCGGCGGCGGCAACAACAACGGAAAAAGAGGCAAAGCAGCCGTAAAAGGAAGGGACGGACGGACGGACGAGGAAGAAAGGCAAGGGGGGGAAAAAAAGGAAAAATAAAAATTGGTCACAACACATGCATGGCGGGAGGGAGAGGATTTTCAAGTGGGGGGGAGAGTGGGCTGTTTGGGGGGGGAAGTGCGTGCCACAGGGGTGGGGTGGGTAGGGGGTGGAGGTAGGGGGTGCATTACACGAGGCCGGGAAGCTCGACGGGGGGGGGGATAAATGAAAGCAGGTTTGCTTGTGTGGAAGGTGATTCAACGCAGCCCGTGTTGGCGCTCCCATCGTCCAGGCCGATTCAGACATGCAACCGGTGGTCTGGGGCAGGATTGGGGGGGGGGTGTCTCCAAACTTACTTACTTATTTCCCTTCCATCTCTTTCTCCTGCCCCTTCCTTCCTTCCTCTCTCCCTCCCATCCATCCATCCATCCATCCATCTCTTCCTTCATGGCCCTTCCTTCCTTCTCTTCCTCCTGCCCCTTCCATCCATCCATCCATCCATCCATTTATCCATCCATCCATCCATCTCTTCCTTCCTGGCCCTTCCTTCCTTTCTCTTCCTCTTGCCCCTTCCTTCCTTCCATCCATCCATCTATCTCTTCCTCCTGCCCCTTCTTTCCTTCCATCCATCTCTTTCTCCTGGCCCTTCCTTCCTTCCTTTCTCTTGCTCCTGCTCCTTCCTTCCTTCCTTCCTTCCTTCCTTCCTTCCATCCATCCATCCATCCATCCATCCATCCATCCATCTCTTCCTTCCTGGCCCTTCCTTCCTTCCTTTCTCTTGCTCCTGCTCCTGCTCCTTCCTCCCTTCCTTCCTTCCTTCCTTCCTTCCTTCCATCCATCCATCCATCCATCCATCCATCCATCTCTTCCTTCCTGGCACTTCCTTCCTTCCTCTTGCCCCTTCCATCCATCCATCCATCTATCCATCTCTTTCTCCTGCCCTTTCCTTCCTTCCTCCCTCCCTCCCTCTTCCTCCTGCCACTTCCTATCCTACACACCCATTGCCGGTGGATCCATCGTCCCCGGCTTTGCCGGCTCAGATATTCTGGGAGTGGACGTCCACAAGCCTTAAAAGTTGCCAAGGTTGGAGACCCCTGCTCCAAGAACTGGGGACAAAGTGCCCGGGAGGAGTGAGGGGCCCGCCATGTTGGGATGACCAAAGCACCGGGGTTGTAGGCTTTGAAGAGGGACGTCCGGCGGTCAGCCCACATGTCGTCCTTCCGAGAAAAGGCCGAGACGGGAGAGGAAGGAGCGACGTCCAACTCTCTCCCCTTCCACCGTCGGCCCCACAGCTTCAGGCCTCGTCTAACCGGGGAGTGGGGGGCAGGTGGGGGGGCAGAGACAAGCCACTGGTGTTAGCAACACATGCGGGGCAGGGAAGAAGGGGGTGTATGTATCATGCGAAAGGAGCTGGCGAGAGGACGAATACTCACGATTCGGCCAGCTCGGCTCTCTCCTCGGTCCGTTCCAGATCTCCTTCAATGATCACCAGCTTACGAGCAACCTAGGAGGAAGAGGAGGGGGTGGCAGAGAGGGTGAGAAGGGAAAAGAGGGGGTGGGCTTGGTTTGGGGGGGGGTTAAGGCGCCAAGGCTAGAAACCAGGAGACGGGGAGTTCTAGTTCCGCTTTAGGCAAGAAAGACGACTATGTGACTTTGGGCCAATCACCAGGAGACGGGGAGTTCTAGTCCCACCTTAAGTAAGAAAACCAACTGGGTGACTTTGGGCAAATCACCAGGAGACTGGGAATTCTAGTCCTCCCTTAGCCGTGAAAGTTAGCTGGTTGATTCTGGGCCAATCACCAGGAGACGGTGAGTTCTAGTCCCACCTTTGGCATGAAAGCCGGCTCGGTGACTTTGAGCCAATCACCAGGAGACGGTGAGTTCTAGTCCCACTTTAGGCACGAAAGGCGGCTGGGTGACCTTGGATCAATCACCAGGTGGCAGTGAGTTCTAGTCTCGCCTTAGGCACGAAAGCCGGCTGGGGGACTTCGGGGCAGCCTCTCTCACCCAATACCAGGGAAGGACCCCGAGCTGCAGCCCGTCCCTTAAAATGAAAGGCTCTAGTCCCTCGCGATGCCGAAAGGAAGGCTGCGTGGAAGAGGTTCTGCTTATATACACCGAGAAACTACAGATTTTTACAGACTTGGGGTCAAAATTCTCTCTGAAAAGTCATCGGCCGTGGTCTTCTTCCCCCTCCTCAAAATCCCAGGTGATCGAGGGAGATTCCTGCTGCCAGAGCGGAGGGCCACCCACCTCCTCGTACTTCCGGTCGGCCTCCTCGGCAATGTGCTTGGCCTCCTTCAGCTGGATCTCCTGCAGCTCCATCTTCTCCTCATCCTTCAGGGCTCTGTTTTCAATGACTTTCATGCCCCTGTCGGGAACGAACCAACGAATGAATGAATGAATGAGGAAGGAAGGAAGGAAGGGACAGGGGAAGGAATAAAGGAGGAAGGGAGGGAAGAAAGGATGGAAGGAAAGAAAGAAAGAAAGGAGGGAGGGACAGGGGAATAAAGGAGGGAGGGGGGAGGGAATACAGGCAAAGGGAGAAAGGAAGGAAAGAAGAAAGAGATGGGAAGAGAAGGGAAGAAGGAATAGACGGGAAGGGAGAAAGGAAGGATAAAAGAAAGAAGGGAGGGAGGGAAGGACAGGGGAAGGAATAAAGGAGGGAGGAAAGGAAGGCAGGGAGGGAGGGACAGGGGAAGGGAAAAGGATGGAAGGAAAGAAGGGAGGGAGGGACAAGGGAAGGAATAAAGGAAGGAGGAGGAAAGGAAGGAAGGAATAGACAGGCGAAGGGAGAAAGGAAGCGAAGGAAAGAAGGAAGAGAAGGAAGGAAGGAGGGAAGAAAAGAAGGAATAGACAGGGGAATGGAGAAAGGAAAGAAGGGAGGGAAGGAATAAAGGAGGGAAGGAATAGACAGGCGAAGGGAGGGAGGGGAGGAAAGAAGGAATGGAGGGAAGGAAGCGACGGGACAGTCAGCTGATATACTTGCTTTACGACCCTCCCGACTTACGACCCAGCCCTATGACGGTCATAAGTCAAGGACGGAGCCATTCAGAAGCCCCTCACCCACCTCTCGCTCTCATCGGCGGCCTTCTCGGCTTCCTCCAGCTTCTGCAAGGCCGTGGCCAGGCGCTCCTGAGCCCGGTCCAGCTCCTCCTCCACCAGCTGGATGCGCCGGTTCAAGGACGCAACCTCGGCTTCAGCCTGGGGGGGGGGGGGAGGGAGGAAGAGAGACAGACCATACATTAACCCCACCCCAACCAGAGCAAATTCCCTCTTCCAGGGGCCGCATCCGGCCCTTGCGCTGTCCCTCTCCATCCGGCCTCTTTGTATTGCTTTCCCAGGGAGTTCTCGACTTACGTCCACCGCTGAGCCCAACGTTTCTGTTGCTAAGCGAGACAGTTGTTAAGTGAGTTTTGCCCCAGCTTTCCGTGCCTCCTCCCTTCCTTCCATCCATTTCTCCTCTTTTTCTTCCACTCCCTTCCTTCCCTTCGTCCCCCTTCCTTCCATTCATCCATCTATCTCCTCCGCCCTCCCTTCTTTCTCTTATCCTTCCTTCCCCCTCCAATCTTCCGTCCTTCTCTCCCTCCCTCCCATTTTTCGTTCCATCCATTTCCTCCTCCTCCCTTCTTTTCTCGTTCTTCCTTCCCCCTCCAATTGTCTTTCCTTCCTTCCTTCCCTTCCTTCTCTTCTTCCTCCTCTTCCTTCATTCTTCCATCTCCTCCTCCCTCCCTTCTTTCTCTTATCCTTCCTTCTCCCTACAATCTTCTTTCCTTCTCTCCCTCCCTCCCATTTTTCCTTCCTTTTCCTCCCCCTTCCTTCCTTCCATCCATCCATTTCCTCCTCCTCCCTTTTCTCTTATCCTTCCTTGCCCCTTTCTTCCTCTTCTTCCTTCCCTTCCTTCTTTCCATCTCCTTTCTCTTTTCCTTCCTTCCCTCTCCAATCTTCCTTCCTTCCTTCCATCTACCCATCTCTTCCTCCTCCCTCCCTCCCTCCCTTCCTTTCTCTTAGGCTTCCTTCCCTCTCTTCTTCCTCCCCTTCCTTCCTTCCCCCTCCCCTCCCCTCCTCCTCCTCCCCCAGAGCTGTGGGCACCATCGGGGCCACCATCTGCTGCCAAGCTTAATCCCGAGCAATCTTCGTATGGTTTTAGCACATGGGCTTTTCCTGGCCGGAGCGTCCCGGGCTGAGCTTGGAGAGGTCTCAGCCTCAGATCTGCGCCACCCTTGACCCCCGGGGCAGATTTGAAGGAAGCGCCACTTTAGCCAGCTGGTGGACAGGAGAAGAGAGGGCGAGGGTCTCCCTCGCCAGGCTGGCGTTGCTCCAGAACCAAACCCCGGGGCTGGCAAAGGTGTCAGCTGCTTCGGCAGCTAAATCCAGAGACTCCTTAAGCTTTTAAAAGATAATTTTTAGATCGGTGGACTTCAACTCCCAGAATTCCCCAGCCAGGTCTGGGAGTGGAAGTCCCCCTCTCTTAAATCATGCAAACTGGGGGATTCTGGGAGTCGAAATCCACCCCTCTTAAAGCAGGCTGGCTGGGGGATTCTGGGAGTCGAAGTCCATCCGTCTTAAACCGAGACAGGGAAAACAACACTGGGCTAGGACCAGGCAGTGGAGACTCACATTTGCAAGTTCACCCAGGGATAAACAAAAAAAAAAAGTTTTTTTTCTCCCCCAAGGAAAGATTTCCCCAGCTCTTCACCACTTTTTCGGAAGGGAGGGAGGGGGAGGAAAAAAAAATCTGTTGAACTTCACCCTCACAGGGAATGTCGCCCCTCAAGAGGGCAACTCATGTGGGTGGGGGTGGGGGTGGGAGAGAGAGAAAAAGAGAAAGTGAGAAAGAGAAAGAAAGAGATAGGGAGAAAGGGAGAGAGAGAAAGAAAGAGAAAGAGAGAGAGAAAGGGAGAGAGGGAGAAAGAGAAAGAGGGGGGAGAAAAGGGAGAGAAAGAAAGAGAGAAAGAGAGAAAGAGAAAGAGAGAGAAAGAGAGAGAGAAAGGGAGAGAGGGAGAAAGAGAAAGAGGGGGGAGAAAAGGGAGAGAAAGAAAGAGAGAAAGAGAGAAAGAGAAAAGAGAGAGAGAAGAGAGAAAGAGAAAGAGAGAGAGAAAGGGAGAGAGGGAGAAAGAGAAAGGGGGGGAGAAAAGGGAGAGAAAGAGAGAGAGAGAGAAAGAGAGAGAGAGAGAGAGAAAGGAGAAAAGAGAGAGAAAGAGAGGAGGGGAGGGAGAAAGGGAGAGAAAGAAAGAGAGAAAGAGAGAGAGAGAAAGGGAGAAAAAGAAAGAGAGAGAGAAAGGGAGAGAGGGAGAGAGAAAGAGGGGGAGAAAGGGGAGAGAAAGAGAGAAAGAAAAAGAGAGAGAAAGAAAGAAGGAAGGAAGGAGGAGAGAGAAGAGAGAAAGAAAGAGAGAAAGAAAGAAAGAAAGAAAAAAGAAAGGAAGACAGAAAGAAAGAAAAACAGCTCCTGGCACCCAGAGCCTACCCACTCCTCCTTCTGGGAACCCAGCAAAGAAAACTTGGGAAAGTCCACTCCCACCCCTCACTTTGCAAAATTCCTTCGTGCACCAGGCTTGGAAGAAGTCTCTCCCGCCCCCCCCCCATCCTCACCCCACTGCCGCCATATCCCCAAGGAGCCTCCCTAGAAGCAGACAAAGAAAGCCAGCCACCACGGACGGGAGGGGGGCGGGGGGGGCGCAGAGGAATGTCAGAGAGAAAGAGAGAGCCAGCCGGGAAGGCGTGGGACCAGAGCCAGCTCTGCCCTAGAGAGCCAAGTCCGCAGGGAAGGGCTCCAGCAGGAAGGAGGGGGGTGGGGGGAACGGACATGAGAGCAAGGTTCCAATATTTGGGGGGGGGGATGCCCCAAAGAAAAGGGGGTCAGATTGTCCTCCAAAGCATCGTAAGGCAGGATGAGTAGTCCTCAGAAAAATTATTTGCATTTTTCCTATTGCACTAAATCAGGGGGTCCTCAAATTACGGCCCCTGGGCCGGATACGTGCAATGAACGTTTGTGTTGCTGCAGAGAGTCTCCCCCTTCGGGGTCTTCTTCTGTGGGTCGGAGGGGGGCAGAAATTCCGACTCGGGGTCTGCTTCGGCCTCCTGGTGGGGGGCTTTGGGCGAAGGCTGGAGGGAAGCGTCGCTGGTGGGGAAGAGCCGGAGGGCCTCGTTCCAGTGGGACTGCACCATGGCCTGGAAACTGGCTGACTATCTCAGCCTGCTGAGCCTCCAGACGCCGGTACCTGGCCTTGCACTCTCGCAGGCCTTCCCTCTGCTTGGAAAGCCTATGCTCCTAGTCCTCAGTGAGGTGCTTCTGCGGAGCCTCCTTCTCGGCCAGATCCAATTTGAAAGTGAGCAGTTTTGCCAACTCTGAGTCCTTCGGGAGAAGGGCGGTATAGAAATTCAATAAATAATAAAATAATAATAAATAACTCTTTCTCGTGGGGGCTGCTTAGCTCCAACAACTGATTCCTGCTGGGGTCCTAAGGATCTCGGGCGGGCAGGCGAGGGGAGGCGCCCCTCGACGTGAGTGACATCAAGTTGGCCACGCCCCCCACCCACTCACATGACCACCTCGTCACGCCCACCCGGCCGGTCGTTAGTCAGATCGTATTAGTGGTCCGCGGGATTTAAAACTATGAATTTAGGGGGTCCCGAAAGGTCGGACTAGATGGCCTCCAAGGTCCCTCTCAACTCTTTTGTTATTCTGAGTCCGGCAAAGATGCCAAGCTATTGTCGACGTCCCTTCAGTTAAAATTAGAAAATCTCAGTTTCAGAAGGTTTTAATTGGCCGTCGTCGTCGTCCGCGGGGAGAATTTTTCCTATTTCGGAGCATTTCAACTAGGACGGCCCGATTTTGCTGAAGGTGAAATAAAAGACACGGATGTTAAGAGGGATGGCATGCAGGGTTTGACCGAAAGTCATGCCCACCACGCAAGATTTCTACCCACCCACCCACCCGCCCTCCTGCCGGGCTGGAAAAAACCCACAACCTCACATCGCTACAGTTCGACAAGCAGGCTTGGCGTGGAAACCTGCAGATGTCCGAAGAAGCCGGCTCTGACCAGGTTCGCCGCATGGCTTCTGTGCCAGGCTGTTAGCGGGCGACAGGCAGCTGTGCCAACGTCATGTGCCATCCAGCGAGCCTTCACTGGGGCGGAGAGTTCTGCTCTGCATCTGGGCTCAGTCTTATCCTATTTATTATTCCTGATCAAATCACAATTCAGCCACTTGTCTGAAAGGGTCTGGAAAGAAGGAAGGAAGGAAGGTAGGAAGGAAGGAAGGAAGGTAGGAAGGAAGGAAGGTGGGAAGGAAGGAAGGAAGGTAGGAAGGAAGGAGGGAAGGAAGGAAGGTGGGAAGGAAGGAAAGAAGGTGGGTAGGAAGGAAGGAAGGAAAGAAGGAAGGAAGGTAGGAAGATAGGTAGGTAGGAAGGAAAGAAGGAAGGAAAGAAGGAAGGAAGGAAGGTAGGAAGGAAGGAAGGTAGGTAGGTAGGAAGGAAAGAAGGAAGGAAAGAAGGTAGGAAGGAAAGAAGGAAGGAAAGAAGGTAGGTAGGAAGGAAGGAAGGAAAGAAGGAAGGAAGGTAGGAAGATAGGTAGGTAGGAAGGAAGGAAGGAAGGTGGGAAGGAAGGAAGGAAGGTAGGAAGGAAGGAGGGAAGGAAGGAAGGTGGGAAGGAAGGAAGGAAAGAAGGAAGGAAAGAAGGTGGGTAGGAAGGAAGGAAGGAAAGAAGGAAGGAAGGTAGGAAGATAGGTAGGTAGGAAGGAAAGAAGGAAGGAAAGAAGGAAGGAAGGAAGGTAGGAAGGAAGGAAGGAAAAAAGGAAGGAAGGAAGGAAGGTAGGTAGGTAGGAAGGAAGGAAAGAAGGAAGGAAGATAGGAAGGAAGGAAGGAAGGTAGGTAGGTGGAAGGAAGGAAGGAAGGAAGGAAGGAAGGAAGGAAGGAAGGAAGGAAAAAAGGAAGGAAGGAAGGAAGGATATCAGAATAACAGAGTTGGGAGGGACCTTGGAGGTCTTCTAGTCCAACCCCCTGCTCAAGCACGAGACCCTAGGACCCATTCAGGCAAGTGGCTGTCCATTCCCTTCTTGAAAACCTCCAGTGACGGAGCAACTCACAACTTCTGGTGGCAAGGTGTTCCACTGGTTAATTGTTCTCACTGTCAGGAAATTTCTCTTTAATTCCAGGTTTTGCTTCTCTCCTTGGTGAGTTTCCATCCGTTGCTTCTTTGTCCTGC